AGAGAGAGAGAGAGAGAGAGAGAGAGAGAGAGAGAGAGGGGCGATACAAGATTGTTGTGCGGTCCAAAGAAGAAAGCGGCCATAGCCGCGGAGCTCGGACACAGGGTATCACGAAGGAGAGAGATAGGTGAAGCGAAGGAGAAGGAAGGAGGGACGAAGGAGAGAGAAACCATAGCCGAGGAAGAAGAAAGGAGGGACAACGAAAGTGAAGGAAGCCATAGCCAGGGTTGAGCGAGGAAGAAAGAGAAAGAAGGAAGGAGGGACAAGGAGGATAAGGAAGGTTGGTGAGGAAGAAAGGTGCCAGCAGCCATAGTCGAATCAAGGGTTGCCTAAGGCGTTGACCGAAGAGTTGACCAGCGTTGACCAAGACTTTGACCGGAGAGTTGACCGGTGAGTTGACTGGTGCTGACCAAGGTGTTGACCGGCGAGTTGACCAAGCGTTGACCAGAGTTGGCGGGGGCTGTTGACCACGAAATTGACCAAGCTGGAGTTGGTATATTCTCGCCAAGCCTTCAGCCTATCCCCTCGCCCTATGGATGTGCACTCACCCCATGGTACTTGCCGAGTCTGTCTGTCTCTTCTTTCTGCATTGAGTCTCTTTTGTCCTGGTGATAGGAACTCTGTGTATGAAGGATAGAGCCTTGTTGACCAAACCCACACGGGCTTAGTAGGGCTAAAGGTCGTGTCTGACGACTCGACTGTCCCAGAGGACACAAACCCTCCCAAGGACCGGTACTGACCGGCGGGCTGCTCGGTGTGGCACGGTAGGCCCAAAATCCGAGTTGTGGGCTGCACAACAGGCTGTCTAAGTCTTGAGAGGACTTGCTGATCGCGTCGTCTTGTCTGCAACGTTAAATAATTCCTGAGGAGTTACGGGGGATCTCCTTAAATGCCTCCTGATCAGCAGGAAATCTTGTAGTGACAACCTTAGTTTAGGTCCAGGCTAGAGACCATAGCTGATAGGATCTTGTTAAGATTCTGTGGTCCTTAGATTGAGTCAGTCCTAGGTTGAGTTAGGCAGGGGTGTGAGCTTAAGTGGTGAGGAGCGGAACCATCATCCGGTTGTGCACCTGTCACCATGGTTGAGACACGTATTGGCAAGACTACCACCCCTTATAGGAAAGCTCAGGAAGAGCAAGCCGCCGCCGTACTTAAAGAGAGGAAAGAGAAGGAGGCCAAGAAGGAGTTGATTAGGCAGGCCAAAAAGCTGGCCTTACAGCAGGAGCAGGCGGCGAAGACGAAGTAGTTGGAGGAAGAGATGGAGAGACTGAGAAAGGAGGAGGAACAAAAGATGAAGGAAGTAGAAGAAGAAGAGGTAGAAGAAGAGGAGGAAAAGGAGGAGCCCTTGGAGAGAAGACGCACGAAGGAGAGAGGTGAGTCCAGTGGCACGAAGAAGGAGGAATCGAGGCTGGAAAAGAAGATCTCTGAGTGGGTAGCTAACTTATCTCTGGGAGAGGAGGAGGAGGCCATGTTGTATGTTTCCCCAGAGGAGAAGGAAGCCGCAATTAAGGAGTGAGAAGCGGAACAAGATCCCTTAAGAGGCGAGACAATCGAGGACGAGAAAAAGTTAGAATGGAAATTGCGTCTGAGGAGGGAAAGGAAAAGAAGGATGGATGAGGCGAGTCAAATAGCGAGGGAGTTGGAGGTGATCAAGGAGCAACGAGCGAAGATCCAGGCACAAGCTGACATACAAGGGAAATTAGATATTATGTCTAGGAACATTGAGCTCTTAGCCAGGGCCTGGGAGGATCGGTATTAGTTTTCGAGAGCCCAAGATATGACCTTACACTCCATACGCTTAGGCTTCCGAGGTTTCGCACATGAGATGATGCAGCACGTAGGTGCCGAGGTGCAGGTGAGATTGGAGGGCACGGAGAAGTTTTGTACATGGGCCATTGAGAGTGCAAAGCTGGCTTTATCAAAGGAGGAAGAGCTACACCCCCGTAGAGAGCCCCTTAAGATGAAGTTTCCTGAGTCCTACGGCGGGAAGAAAGAGGAAAATTTCGATAATTGGGAGGCCAGCGTAAATACATACGTTCATTTACAACACATAGTGCCAGAGGAACAGGTCCTCATCGCCTTTTAGGCCCTCAAGGATGAGGCCGCAAACTTTGCTAGATCGCTCGCTCGCGCTGCACAGTGCGAGAATAACATGGTCGCTTATTCTAAGATCACCCCTCTCCCTGAGTTCTTTCGGCTCCTTAAGGAGCGATTTGTAGATGTCACGTGAGGCGTTAGGGCCTCTGACAAACTGCAGACTATCCACTCACGCCAGTGGAGGAGTGCCTGAGCACTCAAAGGCGTACTGAACAAGCTTGTAGTCGTCCCAGACCACGGGGTCACTGAGCCCCAGTTGGTCAATCTCTTCTTTCGTGCCACGCCAGAGCCCCTACGAGTGCACTTTTTCGAGAAGAGTCGACAGCCCACCATGACATATGATGCGTTGAGTAGAGAGGTGGTGTTGTTCGAGGCACAGTCCATGCCAGTTTCCACTTTCTGGCACAAGGACCTGGATAAGGCAAAAAGTGGAAGGGCCGTACTATCTCTGGCCAGGTTAGGGCCAAGGATCATTTGATCCTTACGTTAGACGAGGGTGGTACGGACGAGGTCCCATACAGCCAGATTGAGTGGGGCCTAGAGGAGGAGGACAGTAGTGGGGGTTAGGGGAGGACCTACGCTGCTGTCGTGGCTGGAGGGAGGCCGCAAGGTAGAGGAGGAGGCCAGGTCCAAGGGGGCTGGGCCTCAGGTGGCCGAGGACAGGGCGCTCAGGGGGTTGGCGGCAGAGGAAACCGCCAAGAGGAAGGTAGGGGTCAAGGTCCCCCGCCAAATCGCTCACGATCTTACTGGTCACCTCCAAGGAGAGGTGGATGACACCCTGGCTTGCCACAGGGCACGCCATGGGAAGACCTGGGCTTGGACCAGACTATGTGGCAGCGTTGTGTGGACTAGAATCAGTGCATTTACGGCGGTGATCCAGGCCACATAACTTAAATATTGTCCAAAGTATAAAGAAGCCTGGTACGCTGCACAAGCAGCGGAAGGCAACCGCCGGTAGGGGTGGCAACTGTCGTTACCCCTAGGCCATGTAGAGAAGAGTGCGCGCACCATAGAGGAACTCCCAAACCACGTGAGCCTACGACAGAGGTTGCTGGCCAATACCTAGACAGCTGTCCGGAGACTGCTTGTGTAAGCGTCTCCCTAGGTACTGCCCTCACAGGCGTGGCTAAAGAGTTGAAGGAGAGAATGCCTGCCTGGGCCAAGATGCAAAAGGATGCCAAAGGACAACTAGTTTTAGTAAACGTAGAGATTTTTAGAGGTAGAGTAGGGACCCTTGTAAACAGTGGGGCCACCCGCAACTACATCAGTAGGAAAGCGTTGCAGAAGTTAAAGCTAAACTTGACAGTCCAAAAGTTAGCAGACCCTATAATCAGTATCCTTGCAGACAATCGCATTATGCGAGTCGAGGATTACGTCGAGGGAGTCCAGGCGGACTTTCGCCTAGAGAAAGATGGGAAGGTGGATAAAGTTCTCCATTCCCTGACTCTCCTCGTGAAAGACAGTCTTCCTTTTGATATAGTCCTAGGAATGGACTGGGGAGAGGCAGCAGGGGCCATACTCCATTTGAGAGAACACGAGTGTAGGCTCCCTAGCCCCACAGGTGAAGTTAAGACCACACGCGTGTTTCATGTGTCAGGGGTAGACAACACTCTGACACATTGCTGCCTCAACGCTCCCGCGTTCGCGCGATTAGTAAAGAAGGAGCAATTAGAAGAGCAGATTTGTGTAGCCTACGTGAGGCCAATCACTGAGCCTAAGGAGGAGGCACCCATCGACCCTGCTATTGCCAAGCTGCTGGAAGAATATACAAACCTAGTTAAGCCGCCTACAGGAGTAGTGTCGCGTCCGATCCAGCATCGCATAGAGATAGAGTCTGGCAGTAGGACTCCTAAAGGAGCGATTTACAGAATGTCCCCAAGGGAGTTAGAGGAGCTACGTAAGCAGTTAGACGAGCTCCTCGAGAAGGGTTGGATTAGGCCCAGTTCATCTCCATTTGGAGCACCTGTTCTCTTTGTCCCCAAGAAAGAGGGAGAGCTTAGAATGTGTATAGACTATAGGGTCTTAATGCTATCACAGTGAAGAATGCAGAACCAGTGCCCCATATAGACGATCTGTTAGACCGGGTGCAGGGCTGCAAGTATTTTTCGAAGATAGATTTAAAGTCCGACTATCATCAGATATCATCAGATAGAGGTTCATCATGATGATCAGTACAAGACAGCATTCCGGACTAGATACGGGCACTATGAGTTTATAGTTATGCCCTTTGGACTAACCAATGCGCCAACAACTTTCCAGCGCTGCAGGAACGATTTGTTTAGGCCGTGGTTATATAGATTTGTTGTAGTATATCTAGATGATATTCTAGTGTTCAGTAAGACCCTCCAGGAGCATGAGGGCCATCTGAGGCAGGTCTTGGAGAAGCTTAGAGAGGCTAAGTGGGTGCCCTGCGCCAGTGTGAGTCTCCATCTGTTTGCATGTGTGCGAAGTGGAAAGAAAGCGAGTCTGATTGCAGAGGCAGGCCCTGGGCCAGATTCGCAACATAAACCGAACACAGGCCGCGGGCAGTTGGACACGGGCAACTACCACAGGCCCAGGGCCTGATTCGGGCGAGCTGGAAGGAGCAGGCAGCCATAGCCGAGCTGCGCTGCTGTATGCTGGATGGGGCGCATGGTGGTTCTTGGGTGCATGTGGCAGCTGTGAGTTGTGGTTCAAGGTTGTGAGTGATACGAAAGACAAACCTAGTGCTTGAGGCGAACGGCATTGGCCGAGATCTGCTCGTACTTCCGGAAGCTGCTGACGTCATCAGCGGCATCGTAGATAGGCTAGATAGGATCTGCCATCTGTAGTCTGGGCGCTGAGCGCCAGATAGGATATCGACATTGGTTCTTCGTTGATGATGATGAGACTATTCCAGCATTGTTAATTATGAGCTTTTGCTGTGCTCTTATTTGGTGGAACTCGTGATGCAATTCCGCTATTAGTTCGAGGTCACGACTATCTGGTCTCATGTGTATGATGCTGTTTGATTTCTGAAGTTCGCTATCGCTCATTTTCCTTGCACAGAGGTCCGGCCAAATTGTAATTCAGAACTATTTTGTCCGGATTGGTCCCGTTTCCAGATTGGTCTGGTGTCTGGAGCAGTCTGGATACGCAGTTAATTCAGAACACGGGACTGTCCGGAGCAGTCCAGACAGAGGTCTGCCTGAATCATAATTCAGCACCATTTTATTCGGTTCAACTGATTGCATGGTAATTTGCATCTGGATTCCAAATCAGGACTGTATTTCAACAGTTCATGGGGATACCAACTGAGCTAGCCCGTCGTTTTTTCTTTGTTTCCCTTTGGTTCATTATTGACTCTCATAACATCACAGCGGCAAGGCAAAGCAAGTTCCCAACAAGCCGTGACACTAAAGCTCGCATCCATAGGATACTGTATCAGTAGCTTGTTCTCTCTCCAAAAAAAAAAAGAGTGCTTAGCACTGCTTACTCTGTAGGTAGCTGCGTGATCTGGGAGGAGAAGTGTATCATGAAATCTTAAGCTGTCTGGTTGTCTGAACTTGTCTCTGGAAAGACAAAAATATAATGAATCTAATCATTTTCTAATGATAGTTATATAATACAGTCATGTCCAAAGTACCCTTTCACTGTTTCACATGCGCAAGAGACAGGAATTGCCAGTGTGTCTCTCTCTCTCTCTCTCTCTCTCTCTCTCTCTCTCTCTCTCTCTCTCTCTCTCTCTCTCTCTCTCTCTCTCTCTCTCTCTCTCTCTCTCTCCACATTGGATTGTGGTCCTGTTTTCGGATGAAGCAATCTGAACTGCATCTTTTCGTTGATGTTTTCAATTTGCCTGGACTGTTGTCCCTGGCTCCCCTGCTGTGTGCCTGTAACTCACTGGCATCTTGGCAAGTCCTTCTTTGGGGGGAGCCTTTTTTAGCAGAGTTGTGTCGCGAAGGTGAAAAAGCAGGTGGGGCTGGTGCGTCAAGGTGCAGAAGGAACAATCTGTCCGTGCAGGGGATGGCAACCTCCGGGTTGCTCCCGTCGTCAAACCGGAGCTCCAGATGTGCGAGGAAGAACGCCGCCCTCTGTAGACATCCAATTGCCAATACGATTGTAGAGTTGCATGCAGGGTCCAATCTGCAGAAGCAATTGTTTCCAGCAGCACCTTGCGTGCTGAATGAACCGTGCGATGTGTCAGCTCAAATGAGATCGAAGAGCGGTGATTGGAGGAGGGCCATGGCAGCGTTTGAGAGGTTCATTCTGCAGATGACACATCGGAATGGCCACCAGGGATCGACTACTGCGAACAAGGAGTTCTCACCCGTGCAAACATCTGTGCAAAGTCGACTGCCGCTGCACCCTCTTCGGTGGCACGGAACACCACCTCCTAGTAAGGATAATAACGGTCATAACACTGCATTGCCAAATGAACTGCACCTGCAAGGAGGAGGAAGAGTGGGTTGCATTTCTTTAGAATGCTATAATACCGGTCAGGTACAGGAAGACTATCATGAGTTGACATCACCATCTCCAGTTGGAATCCACTTGCCAGTCTGGGAGGCGCCGGTGGAAGACATGCAACAACGGGTTTGCAGAGGAAGTTTTGCAGCAGAACCAACTTATTCGGAAACCCACCGAAGCTTGCTGGAATCGTCCCCTCCAAGTGCCATTCGCAGCACAGAAAGGCATCGTAGACCGGCTGTCTCAAGCAGTACCACTGGCAGTTGCTGTAGCTTGAAGGTTCACCATGGGTCCGAAAGCGCTGGTACCACTGGCTGTGCTGGTTCTGATAGTGCGAGAGGTTCCGACATTTCCCATGGCTCAAGCGGTTCCATCTCAAGCAGCTCAGGAGAAGGGACTCCTGATTCAGGATGTCACATGGAATCTGGTAAGCAAGCTTTCTTCCAAACAATTTCATCTCGGGTGATGGACCCAGTAGAGACCCGCAAAGGACCAGATGATAGGGACCAGGCCGTATTATGTACCGAAGGTGCACAGAATTGGACCGTGCCTGGGAATACGCACCACCCATTACGAGATCGGGATCTCCCATCAAGAAACCATGATCTTCTCTGCAGTGCAGGAGCTAGATGGAGGTCTAGCAGCATTCCATCAACTGACCACCAATTGCAAAGCACACCTTCACAGCAGAGCAAGAGGACTCGAAGCAAGCGGAATATCCCATGGGACACCGGGAAAAGTGCCGAGAACTCTTACACATTCGACAAGCTTGATGATCGTGCCTCGAATTCCGGTGAAAGCCAGCTTAAGCTCACCCCTCAGCTCCTGCCATGGGACGTGCAAACCCGATGGGCACCACAGCAATCACAACTAGTTGCAGAGCAATGCTCATTCTCACAGGAATGGGCAGAGGGTTGGGATCCCAACCGTAATCCGAACCTGTGGGGTCCACGGGATAGGAAGGGATTTGCAGGAGGTATGCGGCCATTCACTGGTCCTCTTCAAAAATCATCAGCAAGGTATCCTCTGTCTAATCGTAGCTGCCGAAGTCAAGCTGAAGCTCAGCCCTCCAACAGCAGCAAATCTAAATTGATCAGGCTGAAAGAAGACTTTGAGGTGCTGAGGCCACGGACTTCCACTGAGAGAAGCGTGCTCATGCCCGAACCTGCCTCTGCCTCTGGACGAGTTATTGACGGACGAGTGTGCGCAGAAATACGCATCGCAATGTACGCATGTGTACTTTTTCTCAAGCCATGAACCTGTCTTTCCTACCATCACTCTGTCTACAAACAAGCCTATACAGACAACATGCATCCAGTCCATACAGACAGTGTGTCACATTACGCACATGCACAATCTGATTGTGCATGTGTGCGAACACCTATCGCTATGCCGCAGATGGCATACTGATGGGCGTTAATGTTGGACCAGAAGTTGCCAACCTTTCCTCCTACTGATATGAGGTGAAGTTCATCGATGACCTTCATCAGCGATCTTTGCATGTTGTTCATATTCATCCTGGAATAACTTCCCACCACCTCCTTTAAAGGAAGAATGCAAAAAAAGAACTTCCCACCACCTCCTCCTTTGTACTGCCCCGAGTTGAACGACACTATGCAATATGATTGTTCCTGTCTCATCTTGGGGCCAAACAAGTTGGTTTGGCCAGACGGCTTGCTCCATATCGGTGTAGTTGATAAGCCTGAGGATTGGTCATTTCTGGTTATACGATATCCCAGCACCTTCTCCAATGCCCCAGTGCATCAGCTTGTTGGCATGCTTCCAGGACAGTTAAGGAGGCGTGAGCATATCTGTCATAATACTGCTGACTTCAAAGTGAATACACTCCGCCACACACTGAAGGGCAACCACAGGCCATTCCTGCGAGTAACTTGCGAAAAAGAGCACCAGATGCTCCGTAACCTATCAGCCCCTCCTCCTCCTGATTTCCTCCTTGTCAATTCCTCGGTGCCTCCACTGCTCCCTTCACCTGCGCCCTCCGCTTCACCATCCTCGCTGTCTACCACCACCTCTTCCTCCTCTTTTTCCTCCTCCTGTTTGTTTTCACCATCGTCGCCATCATCAACACATTCATCGTCAGAGGGGCCATCACACATACTACTCTGGCACAGGTGTCCCCTTTCTCCACCACCTCTCTTCAGTGGCGACCCCTTTTTCCACCACCGTCTTCCAGATGGCGACCTTGGTTTATATGGACAGCACAATTATTGCACCTTTGGCAGGGGTTGGGACCTGCTCCACTTCTGTGTCCGCAATGTCAGGGGACAATATTGAAGCTCTCAAAGCACACAGGCCAGGAACAGCGGCATACTGAGTCCGATGTTCAGAATAGGTGATAATCTCTATAGTGCTCCTGGCCGGCATATGCTCCAGGCATGTGTGTTGCCACACCGTGCACAGAGTTTGCACGACTGGGAGCAAAAGCCTGGGAACCAGTTGAGCGGTTTCCCCGCTGCAGCCCCCAATGCCACGGCCACAGGTAAGCACCGGCTCCAGGCATACTTGAGTGGGTTCCCCGCTCCAACCCTCAATGCCACGGCCACAGGTAAGCACCGGCCCTTTGGGCCTTCCACGCGGACAAGTACCCTCGCAGGTCACACCCACACTCAAACCGACAACCACTCAGACAGGCATGCAGACCAGCAAGCACACATACACTCAGACTAAGGAAACTTAGCAACAAGCGGGAAACTCAGCAAGGCATGCGTTTCATTGGCAAAACTCAGAAATCAGCTGTGCGTCTCAGTTCATGTTTGGCAGGTCCTAACACTTCTCTCACCTCCCTCGGACTGCCTGTCGTCACCTTTCTTCCCTCCATCCTTTCTTGGGGCCCTTCCTTTTTTGTCATCATCTCCATCATCCCCACCATCTCCACCTCCATCACCACCACTTATCTTTGTTGAAGCGATTGTGCTTGTCAGTTTCTGTGTGAAAGTACCATCTTATTGTCGGGTGTAGTCAAGGACCTTTCATCAATTCTGTGGGTGGAACCGCAGAGGAAGTTATTCCAAGCACTTTGGAATTCCTCTTGGTGCCGCTCAATTTTTCCAACGGATTTTAGGAAGGCAGCGAGCTCTTGGGTGGTGTGCAGCAGCATGTCAGTAAGGAGGTTCAAACTTTCTTAGACTTCCACTTCTTTCCCTTTTTGCTCTCTCAACATCTGCTGAACCCTTTCTCCTTCTTCCCTCGTCCCCCTTTTCTTTTCATCATACTCATTTCTCTTTTGTGTCAACAGCTGCTGATGGAGGGCACTTCTTTTCTCCTCCAATAGCAGTGATTTCTCCTCCTCATCTGCACATGCTGCCAGTTTTGCCACAAAGACATCCCTCTCCTCCTCGGTCTTTTCTGGCAACTCGGTCCGGATTCTGAAATTTTCCAACCAATATTCATACTCCACCTGCTGGAGCCTCAACTGCCCAGCAGTGCTACTTTCTGCAATTTCTCCCTGCTCTCCAACCTCCGGTCTTCCTCCTCTTCTTCTTATTAGCTTTCCCCCCTCTTCTTTTTCTTCTTCTTCCTCCAACTCTTTCTGCATTGCTGCATCTTTCTTTTTCATCTCTGCCTCTAACCGCTCATTTTCCTCCTCCATATGCTTTCTTTCTTGCCCCGATTTCTTTTTCACGGCATCCTCCTCCTTCCTTTTTTTCTCCTCCTTCTCCTCACTCTCCCTCTGAAGCATGCCCAATCGGGCGATGCAGGGGGTGCCAAGGATCCGCAAGTGCTGAAATGGACTCATATGGACAATGCAGTGTCAGCCAAGCATCAACAAGCAATATACATCCAGATACATATGAAATAGCACAATGTAGCGCAGCGGAAAACTAAAGACCTGATCTGACCTGTCAGATACTGACGCAACACCCCATCATACACCACACATGTGTGAGAGAGAGGAGGGACCAGAAGAAAGGTCCCTCCTTGCACATGCACATGGTGGGAGATACCACGGACGAGAGATGGGGGGGAGGCGAGACGAAGATGGAGGCGAGGGAGAAGACCAAGGTCGCTATAGCGAAGTCCAAAAAATAGTCCCTGGCCAAGTGTCCAATCAATGTCTGCCGCAAAAAAAATGTTGAATCAGATCCTGGGCGTGTGCTCGTGAAACCTCTGCCTGAAGTCTCTCTCTCTCTCTCTCTCTCTCTCTCTCTCTGAAAGCAAAAGGAGAAGAAGAAGAAGAGAAGGAAGGAAGAAGAAGAGGTGGAGGGCGAGAACAGATAGAGAAGAAGAAGATGATGTCGTCCTCCTCACTGTCTCACCTGCAGGTAACTGCTGCTAAGTACTGATGTCGCCGGCGTACGATGTGCTGCAGGTCACTGAAGCCAAGTCCAGTTATGGCGCCCAGGTACGTACTCGAACGCTGCAGGTATGGCCTCCGCCCTATCTCCTGCCTACTCCGCTAATCCTAACGCAGCGCAGCGCTATCGGTGCGGTGCTGGTCCAGCAGCGTAGCGCCCAAGAAGTGAGCTACTCGAACTGTCCGTTGCCCAGCCTCTGCCCAGCTATATGTAGCGCTGGGCGAGGCTGGACCTACCTGGTGCTGGCCTCAAAACGGCCCAGCCGGTCTGGGTCCCTACCGGACGTCCAGACTGTGCTGCTGATGCAGCAGGGCGCCAAAAACACGCGCCTGGCCTTTTGTAGGCCCTGCCTCCGGTACCCAGTCCCAAGGTCGTGCCTTGGGGACTGTAAGTCCGAAACGACACCTGCACAGACCACGACGGTTCAGAAGGTAAGTAAATAAATAAATAATTAACTAAATAAATAATGAATGCTGCCTCTATTTGCCGTAGGTGGCCTGGGGGCCGCCGTGGGCCTCCAGGGCGCATGTCTGATGGGCATGCAGCCTGGGGGCCCCTTCAGCAACCGTCGGGCCCGTCGAATGGGGCCCGTGTGCAGGCGCAGCATGTAACACCCTCTCTCTCTCTCTCCCGAGCTCTCTCAGCCTCTGCTACTATGAGGATCACAACCCTGGATACATCCGCCTCCTACACATGCTCTACTACTACTACTACTACTACTACTACTACTACTGTGCGGCTATGGCTGCCTGTCTTCCACAGCACAGCGCTGCCCAGCAGGGCTCCTTAGCACACAATCACTCGCAATAGCGCACAAGCTCCAGTAGCGCTTCCACCTTCTTGCGAATGAGCGATTTGTCCGAATGAGGCTGGCTTATTGACTTGGACTGGAGGGCCGCAGGTTTCGATTTGAGGCAGCATTCATTTATTTATTTATTTATTTGCTGTCCTATTTTTGGCTGTTCAGACGTCGTTTCGGACTTGCAGTTCAGCACGTCTGAACAGACCTTGGGTCTGTTCGGGCAAGGCCGCACTTTTGGACTGATACGAACATAGGCAGGTCCTGTTGGGCCAGGTTCGTGTTCGTCCGGTAGTGGACGACCCTGCTGCATCGACAGGGAGGGTCTGGACATCTGGTCGGGACCCAGACCCAGTAGGCCACGTTTTGGCCTAGGACCAGAGGCACACGGAGGCACACCCACGAGGCCCAGCGCTACTTGTAGCTTGGCCACGCCTGGGAAGACACACAGTTCGAGTAGCTCACTTCTTGGGCGGCACACTGCTGGAGCAGCGCTGCAACACTACATCACTACGCTGAGGTAGAGGTAGAGGTGTAGGAAGGCGGGGGGGGGAGAGGCCATATGTGGCATACTGCGCATCCACACGGGCCTGCAGGGCCCGACCAGACGGAAAATTAGGGCCGTCCAGGTCCTGTGTCGTTTCAGCCTAAAAGCCTGAAAAAGAGGGCCATTTTCAGGCCCTCATAAAGTCGACCTACCCTGAAACTTAGGCGCCAGACCAGGGTTTAGTGCAGGCCATTTTTGGGCCTGTTTCAAGACAACCTTTGTTTGAACTTCAACGCCAGGGTCTGGCACGTTTCGGCATTGGCAAGAGCAGCCTCCCGGACGGGCCAGCACTATATAGTACTGGCCCGCCCTGCAGGCTGCAAGTAGTTCACGGGGAATTCCCAGGCAGTTCACGGGGACTTCCCCGGCAGTTCACGGGCACTTCACGTGCAGGAGGAAGGAGGCAGTCTTCAGGAGTTGGCCGCAACACTCTAGAGGAGCGCTGCAGTAGTAGTAGCTAGCGCTAGAGTAGTCTTCAGCCCTGGGCGCTGCTAGGAGGTAGAGTAGCGTTGGGAGAGAGAGAGAAGGGCGGAGGCCAGGGAGACTTACCTGTGGCACCATAGC